GGGGGGGGGGCTGCCTTCGGCAACCCCATGTCGGGGCTTACACATGGTAAAGGGGCTAGCTACGCGCCTGGTAATCCATACATCCAAAGCTTCAGTTCATTTGTCAAGGACTTGTAGGAGTTGCATGTAAACAGGTTGATCTTCTAGATACAAAGCCGTACTGTTTCGGCGAAAAGTAAGTATTAATTATCATGAAACTTGTAATAATTTCCATGGGGTTCGACTCAACCAAATATTTACATATGACATTAATTTATCTCGTTATTACATTACGGCTTAGTAAAACGAGATAGAAAAATATTAGGACGCCTCAATCAGCCGAACGTACAGTGAAAACGTTCGGCATTTTAGGTACCGTACAAAGGAATGTGACGAATAATAGAGTATTAAATCGGGTAACGTTTTAATTATGCAACGAAATACATCAGCCATTGGTTAATAGTTAGCCGTTTACTATAATTTGAAGGATTATTCAACCCGTGGCCATTTTTTAAACCTCTGTTGCCTTATGCATTTATATATATATACAAAACATTAGTTCAACCACGAAAGTCCGTGATTCAATGATATAAAATCACATTTTTGGATTTTTTTTCATCCTTTGTGGAAAGTATGACGACAGGTAAATTTTGCATGTCGCTTTGCTGAATGGCCATGTTGAAGTTGTAAAGAAAAAAACGACCCTTGGAAGACCAACTCCTTAATTATGCCTTATTTAATATTCAAACTAGGTAGAACTAGAAGAAACAGTGAAGTAGAAAATGTAAAAGTAACTCAACCGCATGGTAGATCAGAATCATTCTTTTGAAACGAAGTCATTCTCAGGGGAAGAACAACCAAGATTAAAGCATCCTAGTTTGTATTGCATGTTCAGTATAAACATGGCTTATCATTTATGTATAATAAATGCAGATATAACTCAAAAGTGTTATATTAAAATGTCATATTGTAATAGCAGGGCCATGTTTTCATGATTCCCAAACGTTATTAAATTATGGACACGTTTCATAGAGACATACGAGTTTGAATTCTGAATTTGACTTACCTCCCCTTAGTCACCTAAAATTATCTATAACTGATCAAGATGTAATAGACCAAATTCACTTAATTAAAGTCAATAAACCTGCTGGGCCTGACAATGTGTCCCCTAAAATAATTTAAAATCTTCTGCCTTCTATAGTAACACCTCTTAAAAAACTCTTTCAGAAAACTATCACATCTGGTAAGATACCACAGTCTTGGAAATCCCCCAATGTTACTGCTTTATATAAAGGTAAAGGTGCTGTGGATGATCCTAGTAATACAGACCTATCGCTATCACTTCCTGTGTAAGTAAAAGTTTAGAAAAGATAGTATTTTAACATGTGTTTAATTTTATAACTAAACACCATATCATTAGTGAAAACCAGTATGGGTTTTCAACGCAGGGATTCTACGGTCAATCAGTTAACTTCAATATACGATTCTGATTTCAATTATTAAAAATTTAGACAAAGGTAAAGATATAAGATTAGTTTTCTGTGATATTAGCAAAGCATTCGATAGGGTATGGCATAAAGGACTTCTTTTTAAACTTAAATAATATGGTATCTCTGGTGATCTCTTTAAATGGTTTGAAAGTTACTTATCTGACAGAAAACAAAGTGGTCCCTTCTTATTACTTATATTCCTTAATGATATTACTCATGAAATTAACACCAATGTAAACCTTTTTGCTGATGATACATCTATTTATGTAATTGTTGATTGTAAGATGTAACTTCTCCAGCAGAAGAACTTAACCATGATCTTGAATCCATTAATAATTGGGCAAAACTCTGGAAAATCAATTTTAATCCTCAAAAATATAATGCATTAACTGTAGCTAAGAAAAATAGACAGCATCCCTTACTTATACTTGATAATCAGATAATACATGAAAATAATTCTCATAAACATCTCGCCGTAGTATTTAGTACTAATGGTGATCATGTTAAATATATTTATGATAAATCATGTAAAAGATTAAATATTCTGCGTATGCTAAAACATAAAATTGATAGGAAATCTTTAGAATTACTATATCTCTCCTTCATTCGTCCTACTTTAGAATATGCCTCTTCTGTCTGGGGAAGAAAAACTCCTGGAATCCGTTCAAATTGAAGCAATGAAAATTGTAACTGGCCTAAGAAGTGGTACATCTCATCAGAAATTATACTATGAAACAGGTTTTGAACATTTAAAAGATCGACGGAATATGCATAAAATTGTATTAATGTATAAAATCCTCAACCACTTAACACCTGATTATATATTTGACATCATTGAACCTTATATTAATATACAAGTCAATCATCATTTACGGACAATTATATTTTTTAACATTCCTCAATCTAGAACTTGTATCTATACAACCGTAGTTTCTTTCCTGATGTCATGCGCCTATGGAACAATCTCGATCATTCTGTCACTTCTTCTCTGACTATCAGTTCTTTCAAAAAGAAAATTAACAAAATTCAAACACCTCCCAGAAACATTTCTTAAGACTTCATCACCTGTAATCCAAGAAAAATAAGGATATTATTGTGTCAATTACGTAATAATGCTAGCAATTTAAATTTTGATAAATTCAATGATCACTTGATAGTTGATATATAAAAATACGAAATTTTCGAACTATATTCATAGGATACCTTCCTAGTTCATAATATACCATATAATTACTTGTCTTACTATGTAACCCCAATATACGTTTGCAAAAATGTACATGTAACTTTTCTATATCTGGTGCTGCATGGAAGCCCCACACTTTCGCCCCGTAACTAAGTACGCTATTTACATACGTGTCAAACACAGCTAACTGCGTTTCTATATTAAAATAATTATTTTTACAAACGTTAACAATTGAAAACATTGCCTTTCTTCCTTGATCAGTGTCAACTACTACTAATGTCTTGCCTTTATACATGTACCACCAAATTTCGTTCTCTTTCAACTTACCCCCATTTCGGAATACAACATTTTTTTATTACTTTTTTTTGGGGGGGGGGGGGGGGGGGGGGGGGGTATTACATGTCAAATCCCATTTGTACGTATAATTTGACAAGGAGTCCAGCATTTTTTTGCAAACCTTCCGACGTTTCTGCTATGACCACCAAATCATCAGCGTACATCAACAAA